AGTCCTAGTTCTTTGAGGTATCTCCATACTGATTTCCACAGTGGTTACACCAGACTGCACTCCCACCAACTCAATTCCAAATATTAAAAAAAAGGTTGAGCTCTGATGTTTGGTACTTTCGATGTGTTCAATCCACTTTTAGTTAGGATGTATTCAGTTTACCATGGGCTTCCGCCCTTCCTACGATTCCCGCACTGTAACGTCTTAACATCTTTCCTAGATCCTCATCCGGAACCGCTCCACAGACCTGGACGCCCGCATGGCGGATGGCTCCACAGCCCTGATCCTGGCGGCCCGCCTGGCGGTGGAAGGCATGGTGGAGGAGCTCATTGCCAGCCACGCTGATGTCAATGCCGTGGACGAGCTCGGTAGGAAGCTGAGCCCTGGCTGTCCTGTGGGTGTGAACTCACATCCATGTTGATACCAATCACCAACACCCATGTACACGGAGTCGGCTCCCACGCGGGCTCACACCCTTGGGAATTTAGAAAACATCTGTCTCCTTTGTTGGCCAAACTCACTCTACTGCCACCTGCTGGACCATAGCAATAAAGGTTACAGCAGCACAATTCATAGTTTAATGTTAGAAGCAGCCTTCGTGTCCACCATAGAGGAATGGATACAGAAAATGTGGTATTTACATACAGTGGAGTACTACTCTGCCACAACGATAAAACTCCAGTCACTTGTAGGACAATGGCTGCTTGAGACCAATAATGTTAAGTGAAATAAATCAGACACAGAAGGTTAAATATCGCATGGTTTTTCTTATATGAGAAACCCAAAGTATAAGTAATTTTTGAAAAGTGTAAATAATTTAAAGAGCAAAATAAAGCATGGATAATAAGGATCAGGGAGATGGATCTTCTGTAAATGCAAAAGGGATCTAGAGATAGGGTGGAGAGGCAGGAGAAGAGAAGGGAAGTAAAAAGAATTAAGATGTGCTATGTGCATATACCACCTCTCTGCGATGAATGTAATCACTATACACTGCAAGCATGTACTAATAAAAAATTAATTAAATAAAAAAGGAAAAAAGTTTGAAATCAGGGCGATCTCTATGCAATGTCAGGGTCTTGCTATGTAGTTGACACTGGCCTTGAACTCACTACTTAGCCCAGGCTGGCCTTGAACTCATGGTGATCCTCCTGCCTCAGCCTCCCAAGTGCTGAGATTGCAAATGTCCACCGAGCCTGGTTCTTTTTTTTTTTTTTAACTTTTTCCTATTAGTATGTATTTGGCGTACATAATGATTGATGATTACCTTCATCGTGAGGAATTGGTACATGTGCATAAAATACCTTCTTTCTTTTTACTTCTCCTTCCCCTCCATTTCTTCGTCCCCTTTTCATTTGCAAAAAATCTATCTCCTTTATCCTATTATCTTCTTTTTATTTATTTTTTTGGTACCGGGGATCGAACTTGGGTCCTTCTGCTTGTGAGGCAGGCGGTGGAACTACTTCGCTAAATCCCCGGCCCCTATTATCTTCTTTTATTTTGCTGTGTAGATTATTTATACTTTGGGTATCTCATATAAGAAAAGCCATGTGCTATTTAAGCTCTTGTGTCTGATTTACTTCACTTAACATTATGGTCTCAAGGTGCGTCCATGTTCCTACACATGGCTCAAGTTCAGCCTTCTTTATGTCAGAGTACTACTCCATTGGTGTAAATACCACATTTTCCTTATCCATTCACCTGTTGGTGGGCTTATAGGATGGTTCCAGGGTTTAGCTCTGATGAGTTGTGCTGCTATAAATATGAGTATCCGTGGATCACTGTGATATGATGTCTTTAGGGAGTTATGGTTCTACAGAAGTGTTCGCCAATAGAACTTCCTGTGCTGATGTGAAACAAATGTTCGCTGCTAGCACCATCCAATATGGCAGCCACTAGCCGTACGTGCTGGCTGCTGAGCACTTGAAATACTCCTGGGACAAAAGAAGAACTGACTGTTCTTTTATTTCATTTATTTATTTAGTTTTTTGAGATGGAATCTTTTTAATACTTCTTTGTTAGAAATGTATGCTTTATTAAAGTTCCATATCGGGTGTGGTGGTGTACACCTCTAATTCCAGCATGTAGGAGGCTGAGACAGGACAATGGAAGGGATTTTAAGGCCAGCTTGGGCAACATGGTTAGTTTAAGGCCAGCCTGAATACATAGTGAAACTTTGTCTCCAAAAAACAAAAACTGGCCAGGGATTTAGCTCAGTGATGCCACACCTGCCTTGCAAGTGCAAGGTCCTGAGTTCTATCCCAGTACCCAAAACAAAACAAAACAAACAAAAACAAAACAAAAGATTGCAGTACAAGTTTTCTTATGTCTGATGGGGTACTACATATATATTCTCCACAACTCTTTTTTTTTTTGGTACCGGGGATCAAACTTGGGACCTTGCGCTTGCGAGCCAGGTGGTAGAACCACTGAGCTAAATCCCTCGCCCTCCACAATTCTTTATGTTTCTGATTTTATATTGAAATGCCTTTGACAATTTCATATTTCTTGAGGGCTTGGTTTGTTACTCTACTTTTTTTTTTTTTACTCTACCTTTTTTATTGGTCACGAGACCTCTTTGTATGTGTTTATTGGGTTTCTGAGGTGAATGGCCCTGTCCTTTGTGAGCTATGAATGCTTGCTTCTCCCATGAATTCTTCCTTTTTCTCTCCTGTTTTACTACATATTTCTTTTATGGCTTAAGGGTGCCATAACAATATGAGGCAATTCTAGTGCTAACGGAAAAATATTGCCTTGGTCCCTGTTTTGGTAGGAATGTTCCTGGTTCAGAGCTTCTTTCTTTATTTTAAAATTTTCATTAGTACATGTTTGCAATACAGAACAATTACGTTCATTGTGGGGATCTTGCTATTTTGCCCAGGCTGGTTTTGAACCTGTGGGTTCAAGTGTTGTTTCAGTTCCATGTTTTCTTCTAGTGGTATTATAGTTTGAGCTTTTACACCCAAATCTCTGGTTCATTTTGAGTTAGCTTTTGTATATGTGTGTGGGGGACTCAACTTCATTCTCTCTCTCTCTGTCTCTCTCTATCACTGGGGATGGAACTCGGGTCCTTGTGCTTGCGAGGCAGGCAGTGGAACCACTGAGCTAAATCCCCAGCCTTCTCTCTCTCTCTTTTTTTGAGACTGGGTCTCACTATGTAGCCCAGGCTGGGCTTGAACTTGAGGTGATCCTCCTGCCTCAGCCCCCTGAGTGCTGGGATGACAGCTGTGTGCCACCATGGCTGGCTTTTTCCACTTCATTCTTTAGCATGTAGAGATCCAATTGTCCCAGGACCATTATTGAGATGATTCTTCTTATTGAATGATCTTGGCACCTATTTAACATAATGTAATATAATAATATAATAAATTATTATTATTTGTTTAGTTTTTGCAGTACTGGGGGTAGAACCCAGGGCCTTGCACATGCTGGGGAAGCATTCTACCACTGAGCTGCACCCCCAGCCCTTCTTAGGGAGTTGTATTTTGAAACAAGGTCTTGCTAGATTGCCCAGGCTGGCCTTGAACTTGGAACCCTTCTTCCTCAGCTTCCAGAATAGCTGGAAGTGTGTGAGGGGGGTGTGTGCCATCAAACCCAGCTGTTTTTAATTAGTTTAAATCTGAAGAGTCCCATGGGCCTGGTGGACAGCTCAGTCTAGGTTCAACCAAGTGAGGTCAACACAGTGTGCCCCTGGGCTTGGAAGTCGTGTGCGTGCGTGTGTGTGTGTGTGTGTGTGTGCACTCACGCGCGCCTGCCTGGTTCTGACACGCTCCTCTCTCCCCTCTCCAGGGAAATCAGCCTTACACTGGGCTGCAGCCGTGAACAATGTGGAGGCCACTTTGGCTCTGCTCAAAAACGGGGCAAACAAGGACATGCAGGATAGCAAGGTGAGCTCCTGGCCCAGCCACGGGTGGCGGAGAGCAGGGTGGGGACGTTTGCTCTGCCTGCAGCCAGCGTTCGGGGTGGGACCCTGGAGCCAAGGGGCCTCCTCAGTAGATGAGCGGACGAAGTTGCTGTGTGGCCTTGGGCTGGCTGCCTACCCTTGAAGTTGTCTCCGGCTTGGTAAAGTAGAGGAGCAGCAGCACCCACTTCATGGCTTCCCCTGAGCAGCTAGCGAGCTAATGTGTCTGTAAAGCACTAGCAGACCCTCAAGAAAAGGTAACTGCTAGGTTGCTTGTTTAAAAACTGTTCCCAGGGCCGGGGATTTAGCTCAGTGGTTCTGCTGCCTGCCTCGCAAGCACAAGGACCCGAGTTCGATCCCCTGTACCAGAAAACCAACCAAACAAATGAACAACAACAAAAAAAACCCGTTCCCAGGTGGTGTTATATAATCTCATTCTCCAAATGAAAAACATGAGACTCAGCGGCTTGCAGGGACCAATTGTATCCTTATTGAAAATTTCAACATTTTATTCACTGTAGATACTTTTTACTTAAATCTTACTTTTTATGAAACATTACATTGAAGTATCATGTATCTGGTGGACTGAAGTTTTTTTTTTTAAAGTTTATTTATTTTTTGTGGCACTGGGGATTGAACTCAAGGCCTTCACATTGAGCTCTATCCCCAGACCTTTTTTGAGACAGGGTTTCACTAAGTTGCCCAGGCTAGACTAGAAATTGAGATCCTACTGCCTCAGCCTTTCAGAGTACCTAAATTACAGGCATGCACCACCATGCCTGGCTTTGACTGAGGTTTTTGATACCCCTTTCAATTTTGTGCCTGTGGTGAGCACCCTACCTGACTCACCTGCAGGTTGAATGTCATTTAAAGGAAAGAGCTTTGCCTGGTTTTCGTCAGCAGAGCTGGGATTCGAACCCAGATCTGTCAAGCTCCAGGTGACAAATTCTTAGCTCCCACCCTCTCTCGAGGCTGGAGATTTTGGTATATCGGGCAAGGTGCTCTTGACATTTATGGGTTCCATCCTTTCTCTGTCCCAGGAGGAGACCCCGCTGTTCCTGGCCGCCCGAGAGGGCAGCTATGAGGCTGCCAAGCTGCTGTTGGACCACTTTGCCAACCGGGAGATCACAGACCACCTGGACAGGCTGCCTCGGGATGTGGCCCAGGAGCGGCTCCACCAGGACATCGTTCGCTTGCTGGACCAGCCGAGCGGGCCCCGAAGTCCCCCCGGCCCCCATGGCTTGGGCCCCCTGCTCTGCCCACCTGGGGCCTTCCTCCCTGGCCTCAAGACAGCCCCATCGGGGACCAAGAAGAGCAGGAGGCCCCCCGGGAAGGCAGGGCTGGGGCCACAGGGGACTCGGGGCCGGGGCAAGAAGCTGACGCTGGCCTGCCCGGGCCCACTGGCCGAAAGCTCGGTCACACTGTCGCCTGTGGACTCGCTGGACTCCCCAAGGGCCTTTGGTGGACCCCCTGCTTCTCCTGGATCTTTCCCCATCGAGGGTCCCTATGCAGCTGCCACTGCCACGGCTGTGTCCCTGGCTCAGCTTGGTGGCCCAGGGCGGGCAGGTCCTCTGGGTCGCCAGCCACCTGGTGGCTGTGTGCTCAGCCTGGGCCTGCTGAATCCAGTGGCTGTGCCCCTTGACTGGGCCCGGCTCCCCCCACCAGCACCCCCAGGGCCCTCATTCCTGCTGCCTCTGGCCCCAGGACCCCAGCTGCTCAACCCTGGGGCCCCTGTGTCTCCCCAGGAGCGGCCTCCACCTTACCTGGCAGCCCCAGGACATGGGGAGGAATACCCGGCATCGGGGACCCAGAGCAGCCCCCCCAAGCCTCGCTTCTTGAGGGTCCCCAGTGAACACCCTTACCTGACCCCGTCCCCAGAGTCCCCTGAGCACTGGGCCAGCCCGTCCCCTCCTTCCCTCTCAGACTGGTCCGACTCCACGCCTAGCCCAGCCATTGCTGCCGGGGCCACGGCCACAGCTGCCGCAGCGGGCCTGCCATCCCAGCCACACCCACTGTCCATCCCTGGCTCCCTGGGTCAGGCCCAGACCCAGCTGGGGCCCCAGCCGGAAGCCACCCCGAAGAGGCAGGTGTTGGCCTAAGTCGCTCCGCAGTTCCTGGATCTTGGTGCTGGCTCCTGACTCTGCTCTCTCCTTCTCTCTTTTTGGGAACCTATGTGGTTTGTTTTTTTGGTACCGGGGATCGAACTCAGGACCTTGCGCTTTCGAGGCAGGTGAGTGCCACTGAGCTGCATCCCCGGCCCTCTCTCCTCTCTTCGTCTCCTCGCCTCCATCTCTCACCAACCGTCCTGCACCTGCCTTCCAGACCGAGCTGGGCCACCAGCCCCGGCCTCAGTCTCCCTTTATTTATAACAGATGGGGGCTGACTTCCCACCCTCTCAGTCTTACAATGAGTCTGGGGTCCGCTCTCACCTCCAGTTATCTTTCATCCCCTCATTTCCTCACTCGACACGAATGGGCTATTACTCTGTTTTCCTTTTTT